ACTGATGGTACATGTGTACAAGCTCTGGGAGTGTGGTACTGATATTGTCTGCTGTTTTCCCTTACCAATGGTTTAATGGTTGGCATCTGTCACTTTGAAGGATTTCAAGTGCTCAACTATTTCATCCTTAGAAATTCTCATAAACCTTTGGGTATATAGGTTTTGATTTGTTTCCCACAAATTCTCGTCAACTTGAGAGCCGTTTTGGACTGTTCAGCCGATCTGCAGTTCAACACAATGTCACCTTTATCCAACCTCTTCGGGCTATTTCTGTCACCATTTTAAATATCCTTAGCTAGTGCAATTGGGTTTAGTGATTTCAAACTGACTCTAGGGTACTGATGGGCTTTAGATCTGTGTCTGAGCATCGTCATCATGTTTTGGGACTCAACCCAACAAAAGTAATAGAATCTGTACTTTACTAAGAAAGTGTAATCCCAAATATAACATATGTTACTTCAGACATGAACCACTTCAAATAGTAGATCATCAGACAGATGAACGTGAGATGAACCACTTCAAATAGTAGATCATCAGACAGATGGACGTGAGATGAACCACTTCACCTATCTGTTCGTCATGAGAAGTCATAAAAAAAATGTTTTTGCAGTTCAAATTCTCTGGGTTGAAAGAAAATACAAAATGTTATAAATTATGTGCATTTATTACTGTAAATACAGCACATACATAATCATGCATATTTCAAGTATATAAATGGTAAATAATCAATATTTCCTCTCATCAACAAGGTTCCCTGGACATATCAGCCGAAACATAAAATCTTTGAAAATTGTAACATTGTTCAAAACAGCTGGATCAACTGAATGTTCGGAGATAGGATTTTTGATTTGCTTTTATTTACATTCCATTCAAAACCCCTAAACATGTGCAAAAAACCCCAGTTGATTAGCGAGAGTAAGGTACACAGTAGATATGAATAAGGTGTCATTACACTGGGGTATCACATGTGCTTATTTGCCTTTTCTGAAATGTGCAATCTACATTGGCTCATCACATTTATGTCTATAAATAGCATACAGCGACTGCACAAGCAATCTCCAACAATGTGCATTTATGGGAGAACTATTTCCTGAACTGACTGACACAAGTGAATCATGTCAGTATAATAACAGTGCCGGGAATTGCACTGCTGATACCGTGACTAGTGGTGACAGTTGTCTTAGTACTACTGATGCATTGCAACACAAATCACGTCTGTCGTGATCATGTCATCATAGCAAAATATTAAAATACTTTGATAAAATACAAAAACAGGGTCTGTGTTGAATAATTAATTGTATATACAACATATGATGTTCATGGCTCTGTAATTACAGGTGTGCACAGGTGTGGCAGATATAGCTGTATATCTCACTGTCACTATACTGAAATGAATGAAAAGACTGGCCTGATTATGGAATAACTTACATAGCCTGCTCAATGATCAATCACATTTACTTATGTGTCCTCAATGGTGTAACCACTGTAATTACATCATCGTCCTCATCTATGCAGCGTATTGCATATGCTATTGTGCTCTATGTCACTGTACACCATTACAATAACTGACAAGACTACATGCCCACCCCTCCTGGAGTTGATACTGCCATACATGTCAACAGTCTATTACTCATAGTGTAGGGCAATTCAAATGTTACCTACATTATACATAGGCCAATGCATTTTCTGTGTCCAGAAATTGAAGTAATAAAATGGCATTTCTGCATATCTCAGAATATTGCTGTCTATATCGCATTGCATAATAGAAGTGTATGCACCATACGCAATTATCATCTTTCACAGACAAAAATATATCTAGTAGTATATTGTTACCCACGCATCCCAGTGAGAAGAGTCCATATGTAAAACAGCATTATAGAACGTATATTTACATAACATGTTTTCAGACCTGAAGGATAGGTTCATATACCAGATAAAGTAAAGTATGTGTCACACATGTCCACACACACACCACATATATGTAACACATGATCACATATATGTCCACATATATGTCACGCATGACCACATATATGTCACGCATGACCACATATATGTAACGCATGACCATATATATGTAACACATGGCATATCACACATGCAAAACATGACCATATATCATATGTGCAAAATGTTACCATATATCATACATGAAACATGACCATGTACCACTCATGTAAAATCTGTCTATATATCACACCTGTGTAATATGACCATGTATTTCACACAAGCCCTATTTGTTTACAAGTATCATATGATCAGTTGTGTAGAACTGAATCCTGTAATAAGTAGAATCTAATATGTAACATACATAGTATTCATAAGATCTGTTCTCACAAGAATATATCTGTATGATATACGGAAAACATAACATGAAGATAATATATCAATAAGGAGGGTTATATACATGGGCTATAGACACACACAAACACACAGTGTGATCATTTATGTAAGATATAATCAGTGATGAAGATGATATATCATTAAGGAGGGATATATACATGGGCAATAGATGTATGATATATCAGTCATGAAGATGATATATCATTAAGGAGGGATATATACATGGGCTATAGATGTTTTATGATATAATCAGTGATGAAGATGATATATCATTAAGGAGGGATATATACATGGGCAATAGATGTTGTATGATATAATCAGTGATGAAGATGATATATCATTAAGGAGGGATATATACATGGGCTATAGATGTATGATATAATCAGTGATGAAGATGATATATCATTAAGGAGGGATATGTACATGGGCTATAGATGTTGTATGATATATTCTGTGATGAAGATGATATATCATTAAGGAGGGATATATACATGGGCTAGGTCCTGTAGGATATACCCCCTGATACTGTGATTCTAGAGTGAGCACTAATACACATCCCCCTGTTTGTGGTAGACTATACTACATCACATCTAAAAATGACATGGCACACATTCTCAAGTCCTAACACATCAACAGTATCCATAACCTGTTGTTAAGTATAAATATACTGACATATCAGCTTCTGTGGAACTGGCCTCAGTTAAAGAAGCACTTTTCAATTCTAAACAAAATATTCTCTCAAACAGAAATCATAAAGTTTAGGCACTTACAAACTTAAAGGTCACATGCAACGTAAAACGCAACTTTGCAGATTCTGATACCTTTCGGAATGGACTTTCAGTAACAAATGATCAAAAATGCAAATTCAACTGAAAAATTATGTGATGACAACGTCATTATTTAGCATTGTCAGAATTCTTAACTGTGATATAGATATGCCTCTGTCACAGACAAAACTCAATGTCTGTTTTATTTACACATATGTGTCTGCCTGCCTGTCTGCTAATGACAATATGCAATACACAACTTCGATCACTGACCACATGCAATTTGAACTTAACACCTATCAGGCTATACACCATAAACAAAATGCTTTGATTTATGGCTCGTGCACCCGAGTTCTGTCTCTGTCACATTATGTAATTACACAGACAGGCAGGTGTGATACTTGTACACATGACATGTTATGGTGTCTGTTGATTACAAAATGTTATACACAAAAAATATGCATGTATTTACAAAACCCAACATCTCTATACACACACAAAGAGTGTATCGGCAAACGAACCAGCCAATGAAAGACTTCGTTACACTTAAGTGCACGCCCACCCACTCTGACTGGGTTCGGTATCCCGGGTGCTTCGTTTTGACGGAAGTAAACCCAAGTACACAATATTGCACTTTTGATTTGTGATTGTACTCTTATAATTTTGTTTTTTTGTTTTTTTTTCATAATCAGCAATGTATATTATATGTCATGAATAAGTGATAATTGTGTTTTAATTATGTTTGTGTTTTTGGTTGCATGTGACCTTTAAATGACATTTGAAATGACTGAAGCATATATTTCTATTACAACAAGCAGTAATACACAGGGTATATGGAAAACATGTCAGTGCAACAAACTGAACAGGAATAAGGCCTTTCGAAAACAGCTGGACATCAGTCCAAGGCTTATTGTCAATTCAGATGTTTGTACATATAGTTTGGGTAAGAATGGTTGGCATTCTCAACAAGGTGTGTAGTGACCATACTTGCTGTAATTATTGCACCATTGGCACTAACCCAACAGGGCTTATTAAACCAGACACAGGAAGCTAAATCTGTTCTTAGGGCAATGAAAATACAACCACTAGAGGATGTGAAAAGGTTTCCGTTAAATACAGTTTTATATCAACTCCAGTTGGAAACGTCCACCTCTTACAGTATAACTGCACTTTAAAATAAGAAACAAAATAGGAAACTTAATAACAAAAATGGATAAAATTGTAATGTATTTCAGATTTTGTACTTTGCTAAGGAAGTGCAATCCCAAATATAACACATTACATGTAAACACTTTCTACATTGTGTTTTCATAGGCTTTGTGTCATGGGAAGCCTGACAGTTTACACTTGTCACAGAGATACACAGAGTATGTGATGTAGACTACCAGACGTTGACCTCCATTACTGGGGAAGCCTCAATGGTTACGTGGGTTGAAAATTAAAATGTTAAATAAATAGGACCAATTATAAAAGTAGAGTCAGTAACTGTAAGATGGCATCTCGGAGGACATATCTCAATAGGTAGCAGTGGCACTTCAGAATCACCATGGTGGAGATGTTTAGGGGTAAATGTGTGTTGAAAATAACCTTATGCTGCATTGATTAAATGAAAGATTTTCTTTTCTTTGAAAATATCGTTGTTTGAAATATAAGCTCAATATTTCCAGTGAAACAAACTAGCTATAACTCACCTATACATGTTCATTGTAACCCTTGACAAAGTAAAGCAAACATGTATATTTTACTAACAATGCCAGAGGGTTTTCACCAAATCGGAAAAAGTTGTATCACAGTCAGAAAAGAATCTCAACAATTGGCATTGAAAGGTTGGCCCTTACTTATAAACATGTTACATATTTGAAGGTGATTGGACAACACACAATGTTTAGGTGTGGGTCACAAACGTTTTACAAGACCACAGTCAGGAGAAGAACAAACATACACAGCTATAAAATATGATTACAACTCTAATTGTGGAATCTGTCATCACAAAAATATTTTCATACACTTACTGAAAAAGGAGGTAAATCTCATCTCTTCATATTGCACATTGATCCTTCAGTGTAATTACAACAAATGTCCACTTCCTCCACACACACATTATGTTAGTAGTAAAACCATTTCATTTGTCAGAAATCAGAAACTCTTACAACTCGACTGTTTCTTGTTTATTAGACAGAAACAGTAGATGTCTGGCTGTTGTTAAAGACCAGCCTTTTTACTTCCATTTTTCCCCTGTCCTGAATACAATCTACTGTTTTAAATACACAATACATGAAGAATGCCTTCACACGGCAGACAGACATTTCACACATTTTCCAGTATAGCCCAAACCAGTGAGACATCTTGCTCATCATACAAGTGGCAGCCTTGTTTAGCATACCATGGCAAATAATGTTGATCGTTGTAGTGGCAAGCCAGTGTTGATCATACTAGTGGCAAGCCAGTGTAGATCATACTAGTGGCAAGCCAGTGTAGATCATACTAGTGGCAAGCCAGTGTTGATCATACTAGTGGCAAGCCAGTGTTGATCATACTTGTGGCAAGCCAACCAGTAGGGGTCAACTGTGACCTTTCCGAAAGTTGAAATGATGACCTCGAGAATTATTTCATCCATATTCAAAGAAACCTGAGTACATGACAAGCATTTCTATGTACAAACTGAATGTCTGTATACATTCTAAAACAGTTTGTAGACACGCAACATATTGTCTGTATACATTCTGAAAGTGTCTGTACACATGCAACATATTGTCTGTATAAATTCTGAAAGTGTCTGTACACATGCAACATATTGTCTGTATACATTCTGAAAGTGTCTATACACATTCTCATACACATTTTGCTTGGTTCATACTAAATTCCGTCAAAGTCTTGGCAAGCACCACTAACTTCATGTCGTCCTGTGATGCGTAGGGTTTAAGGTTCCACCAAGCTTGTACGGATGAAGCCAATCATGAGAGTGTCGAGACACATGAAAAGTAAGCCTGATTTGTAAATCATCTAGTCAATCATGCACTATGTCCTCACTCCAGTGGGGTGGAAGTCTGAATGCCAGGAGGGCGTTCCACGTCACATTATGTTCCCCTCAACAAAATGATCACCATAAAGATGAAGGCAAGCACTGCACCAACTGCCCGACAGTAAATATCTGTTTTACAGAGCCAAGATGACATCTGCTTCTACACAGCCAAGATGACATCTGTTTCTACACATCCAAGATGACAAGTCAGACTAGCGATCTGCTCCACTTGAACTATCCTCCTCTCGTGGAAATCTTAAACAAAAATCATTGCAAGGTTTGGTCAACTGAGTATTCCACAGAAAATAAAGCCACACGTTTGATCAAATTTTGTTCACAGACGATCTGACCTTTACTTAAAATACCCGGAAACAAAAGTATAGAAAACTATAGTTACAATGTGAGAAAAATATTCATATATTCAAAGAATGTCTCAGTATCCAAATGACCAGTTACACAATGGGTCTTGTTCTTCAAGGTGTTGTCCTCATTTCATTTGGTTGGATTTGTTTGCTGTTTAGCACCACTAATATGCAATTTTTGTGCTGTATGATGGCAGTCTGTTAACGATCTAGTGTGGACCAGACAATCAGGTGATTGATATCATGGTATACACTTATATGGATCAGGAAGTCAGTGAAGCAAGGGTTGATGAAGACCAGTACCATCCCAAACCCAGGTTTGCAGTTTTGCTTATTTGAAATCTTGTGGATTTGTATCAACATTTAAATCATTACTCACGGACATTGTGCCAGTCTGCTACATAATACACTTTTGTGATATTTAACCAGAGGACCATTGCAATTTCTCTCCAAAACAACAGCATCTGCACTATGAAACTAGGCAAACTAGACAAACTGGACAAAGTTTGACAGTGTAAACAATCTCACCTGTGTAAGTGTGTTGGTAGTCCTGGAACATGGTATGCAGTGTACACAGACCCTCCAACACTGCCACCTTTCTGGTAAGCATCGTGTTGCTGAACCTGAGGGATGTCTCGAAAGTCCTTTACATGAACCCTGACAACATGGTCTCGACTTGTACGAGCTGGGGATAACCCACTGGACAGATCTTCCTCATCACTGGAGTAGTACATTGGGTTTGATCTTTGCTTTGCCTTCTCAGACAGAGATGGCATCGATGGTGCATGCAGGTTTGCTGACTGCTGGTACTCATGTAGCAGATTGTTTATCTCACTAGGATCATGCTGTCGGTCAAGACTACAGAAGCTTTGTGATAGTCCTTTGGGACCAAGAAAGTCCATCATGTTATGCTTCTGAGTAGACATTTGATTATCATCAAGACTCCTTCCTTGGAACATCTTTGTTAGGTCTGGACCATTAGTTGTGACATACATGCTCTTTAGTTGTCGAGACTCAGACGAAAGTTCGGGACCACTGTACATGGACTTGCTTGGCCTTGGTTGTGCAGAATGACTAACTGAATTTAACAAGTATGCCCATTGTTGAGAAGATGTTGGAGGCTGGACGCCATTCATTCTCATCAGATTGCTGAGGTAGTTAATATCGATTGAGGTAAGGTTGGGCATAGTTGGCACATTGGCTCCATTACTAAAACGTGTGTCGAGCCTCTGTGTGACAGCAGGTTGACCCTGATTCATCACATGAGGGTAAAGCTGAGACTGGCCTGTATATTCAGGCAGATTGTAACTGGGCAAGCCTCCAGCTGGTGGAAGTGGGGGAGCACTGATGGTGGATTCTCCGCTTGATATGTTCTGTTGCAAAATCTGCAGCTGCTGTTGGAAGTGAGCTGTCTGGAGACGTTGGAAGCGCTCCTCCTGTTCCAGAGATTTAAGTCTCAACATCTCCTTTTCCATCTCAAGCTGTTTGTGTTTTTCCATCTCAATCTGACGCTCCTTCACTTTGATTTGTTCTGACATAAAAAGGTCCCTGGGGTCTCTCTCTTGGTTAGTACTGAGAACATACCCATTCTTCTTCTTATTTTTCTTCTTATAAAGTCTCAACCCCTCTGGTTTTTCAATACCTATATTTCCACGCTGTAAAGAATTAGTCTGTCCTGGGAGGTACCCATTCAGTTCAGGTTTTAACATTTCCAAATGGGAGGATATCCCTTGTGGCTGTTCAGCTTCCTCCTCTTCATCAGAGCTCTCCTCTTCTGAAGTCAGAATATTACCTTGTGACAAACGCCTTTCTAGTGGCCTCAGCGGTCTATCCAGCTCATTTGATGATGCAGAGAGATGCCAGTTTGAGGGAGGAGGTGGAGGAGGAGGAGCATCTGTTGACTCAAAATCCATTGACTTCTGCTTTCTAAGCAGTTTCCCTGAAGCTCGACTTAAGGAACCAAAAGCATTCCTAACACTTTTGTTTACTGTCTTTTTCAATTTTCTAATACTACCATACTTATGTTTATCATCGTTTGATGATTCAGACTGTTTGCGGATATATTTTCCTTTACTATTTTTCTTTAATGCATTGAATTTAGTTGGAACTATGGATGACTTGAAGCCTTCAGATGTGCTTCTTTGATGCGAGTATGAAGTATGTCTGTCTTCAATGTCATCATCTGATCCAAGATCATGCTCGGGTGTCCAGTCTTCAGAGAAAACTCTGCAATGTCCTGGAGATTTGCTTTCTTTTGATGACAAGTCATCATCATCATGAGTTTCATGACTGGAAAAAACTTCTGGAGAATGTGATCTGCTACTACTGATCCATTTCTTGTCTAAGTCTTGACTCAACCTTCTCAATATCTCAACTGATTCACCATGCTTCTTGTCTAACCTTGCAGTTATATCTTCTTCTTCCTTTTCTTGCTCAAGAAGCTTCTTCTTTCTTTCTTCCTCCTCTTTCCTTTTAAGGTCTTCCTCTCTCCTCTTCGCTCGATCTTCATAAGCCCTAGCTAACTGCTCACGGAAAATTTCATTTTGATCCTTAGGCTTCTGCAGATTGATTGTTGGTAGCTTTGGTTTCAATACAAGTTCTTTTTCAGAATATCTTTCACTCTCATCATGTCCATTAACAAGAGAATTGAGCCTTTTTTCAGGGCTCTTTGATGTTGGATTATTCACAATTTCATTTTCATTATCACTTTCTAAACCATCATCATCAGAATCAATAGGTTTGTTGTCAGTAGTCTCACTTGAAATGAGCTCATCTAGTTTACTAATAGCCTGTTTTTCTTCCTTTTCTTTGTCACTTGGTGCCACTGATCTAACAGTGACTGGAGGTGGTGTACAAGAAGGTGGAAGAGAAGTTGGCAGAGGAAGGTGTGAAGACTGAGTAGGTGGTGGTGACATCACAGGGGGCACTGATGCAGAAGGAGAAGATACAGACTGTTTAGGAGCTGGAGCTGGAGCTGGAGCAGGAACTGGAGAGGAGCAGGAACTGGAGCAGGAACTGGAGCAGGAGCAGTAGCAGGAGAAGGAGGTACAGCCACAGGAACAGTAGATGATGGCCCACTCTGTGTAGGAGCCATAAGAATGCTGGAGCCATTGATTGGGGGTGGCGGAGCTGCTTTTGTCTTGGTGCTGGGGATGGAAGCATTTGATGCTACAGACATACGACGTTGGTGCTGCTTCAGAACTGGAACTGGAGGCTCATCCATGTCATAGTCAACAGGCGGCTCGTCAGTGTTATCCTCAACTTTACTACCTGGAGGAGGAGGTGCTCTCTTCTTCTTACGCTTACTCACCCCCGTTTCAGAACTAGCAGTGCTGGTACTACGTGTGGACTCACGTGAAGCCTGTCGCAGAAATGGATTATACTGAATATTGCTATTATCTGCCAGATCAGTCTGTAGTTGGCCTACACTGATACCAGTTTTTCTCTCTACTTCTTCCAGATGTTTCTGTCTCCGATGTTCAGCCAACTGGGCATATGTCATATTGTATGTAACATCAATGTCAAAGTTGCTTCTTACAGGCAGTGACACACCAGTTGGCATTGCATTAGTGTAAGGTTCTTTTCTCCAGTTATCATATAAATGATCTCTAGTCTCGGCCAGACTCTCTCTTGGGTCCTCAAAAATAGTGTGTTCCTCATTTATTAAACTCATTGTCATTGAAGGATGACGTCTATGGCCACGAGGTTTCATCGGTGCACGATCAAGTGAATGAGTCCGTCTCAGTCTGGAATCAGATGATTGTCCATTCAAAAGGTCCTCATTGGAGGCAGATGTAGACGTATCAGAACTACTGGGTCTTCCATCGGGAACAACATCATTCAGATGCATAGTTACAGTTGCATCAGTCTTATTGTCGACACATTCAGTCTTATTATCAACATGTATCTGTTTCTCAATGTCAACTACATTCACATCCCTGCCTCCACTGGTCAGTGATCTCTCACATTTATCACTTATCTTGGCATTGTCATCACTAACATCCATATCCTCCTCCCCATCTCTCTGCCCGACTTTATCTGAGTCACTTTTGGGGAACAAATCTGCAAACTCGGGATGCTGCTTTGACATTTCCTGTGACACAGGTCGGAGTTTCCTTTGAAGCAGTTCTCCAACAGGAAGAACCCTATTCTCAGGCACAGCATACTTAGGGTTCTTGGATGGAGTGCGAGGTCGCTTGGGTGGAGATGATGGACGAGGAGGAGGCACCTTTTTCACAGGAAGAGGCTGAGCCTGGACATAATGTGGAAGGGTCTCAAGCTGAGCACTGCCTGACTGACCCATAATGACTTTTATACACTGTCCACAAACAGCAGGTTACAAAACACAATTGTTCACATTATTGTAGCATCCACAAAAATTGACAGACATGGAACTGACTCCCTCAAATATTGTTGGTTGATATATTGTAAGTGTAACAGATGATCATCTAGTTGCCTGGTTGGGTCAGAAAGTGTCCAGGGGGCCCTTGCTTCAACTAAATGAAGCATGATGACTTCTTTGGGGTGACGATTACAGGTGCAGGATCAGAAATGAAAATCTGGAATGAAAATATATAACATCAAAAACAGAAGAGATGGAAACAAGAGTGTATGTGTGAGTTATGATTGATTAAGTGGAGGTCACCTGTAGTCAAGATGTACTATAACTGTCAATGTAAACATAAGACCGTCCAAAACCATTAGTGATTATTCATGCTCCAGAACATGGTGACAACAAAGAAAATGAGAAGCTACACACAGCAATAATGTTTGATATGGTTCAAGTCAGTGTTGAAGTATTTGCTGACAGGGATTATCAATTTCCATTTCCCAAAACACTCTTTTCCCTTAAAGAAACACTAAAACAGATGTCATCTCTCACATGTGAGAAACTGTGATACACCCCACCCATCAAACGCAACAACTACATATGTCATGTGCTGGCAATAAGTGTGACCATATCAACATGAGAACTTGCATGACTCAGGTATCATACATTGTTTCTTCACCTGAAGAAGGGGGCTGATTTTCCAAATGTCTTACAACTGAAGGAGAAATATTTGTGTTGTCATTGACTCTCTGAAGAAATGGAAGCCCAAGGTTATCAATAATTCAAGTTAAGGTCTATTTATATACCTAAAGTGTATGTTAGCAGACTTATGTACACAAACACTTCACTTCCTGGTACACATGTTAAGCCTGAGTCACACCAAGTTAGTTCTTAGTACGTCCTGCCCCATCCAAAAAATAATTGTAAAATGGGCTCAAACAGGATAGAACATGTAACGTTTGTAAAAATTACGCTGCCAGTTTGATCACAAACAGTTCTCAGTACGTCTACCTCGTCTTTACCCTATCCCCAGACAGTTGGCATTATGTTTAGACAGGGTAAAACTGCCCGCTCACCCTGTGTGGACAACATTTTCCAGCAGTTCAATCCTGTCCTTAGTTTATATCCGTTCTGAACTAGATCTATCTTGTTCATAATAAGCAAAACCCTGTTCTAACTCGTTCTTAACTCAACCAACTCGTTTTCAGGCAGTTCTATCTGTTCGCATTACGTTCTCACTCTGTTCCTAGTGCATGCAGTCATAATACAGAGGTACAGATAAGTTGCGTATCTACGTAAATTACGCAAATATTTATGTGAAAAATCAATTCCTATTAAGTCTATTGGTTACAAGTACGCTTGATTTTTGAGAAATACTCAATAAATGTGATCTTACATGCGTACACATGGAAATGTCAAATCTTAGCTTGTGTACCGGTGGATAGATAAAATAACTGAGGTTTACTGAGAGGTTCTATTTCGGGATATGAACTTGACAACTTGCAGTCTTTCTTATCGTTCCTCTATTACAGATCGGGGCGGTGGGGTAGTCTAGTGGTTAAAGCGTTGGCTCGTCATGCCGAAGACCTGGGTTCGAATCCCCACATGGGTACAATGAGTGAAGCCCATTTCTGGTGTCCCCGCCATGATATTGCTGGAATATTGCTAAAAGCGGCGTAAAACCAAACTCAGTCAGTCAGTCAGTCTATTACAGATCAAATATAAATAACAAACACTAACATTTAAACTTTATTATATTTTTAAAATGAATGGAAAATGGCAAAATACTCAATTGAGTTTGAGTGAGGTGAGTACAATTTATTTGGTTACTCAAAGAAAAATTAGGATACCCAATTGAGATGAACACAAGCGAGTACATAACTCAATGACCCAAAAAGTTATCTGTAGCTCTGATAATAGCAATCACGTGCAGGCCCAATTTCTATAAGTACCCAGCATGTTCTTGCCCATTTCCATTCACGACCATCAAGGTGGACCTCCTCCATCAGCTGATGACAATGTCCCACAGCTATTTTGCCTCTAAGGTTTAAGCCAGTTTCTCACCCAACAAGTTTTTGTTCCTTTCCTCCTTTCGTGCTCTACCAACTCAATGTACTCTTGCTCTGCTTCCAATAAAAAATGCAGCAAACCAGCATTCAACATGTTGACACCTGCAAACTTGTTCATGTTTCACAGGTAGAAATCTCTATCCCAAATGATGAATGTGTTAAAAACGCATGTATTTATACCCTTACTTGTCATATGGTACTGCACACGGTGTTGACATAGAAAGAACTTTGTGAGAACTCATTGTGAACTTTTAAAACTGTGTAGAAACATATTGCAAACTTCTTCAGAACAATTCACTTTGTTTTGAACATAATTGCACAGAATAGCAACTAACTAAGGACGTAATGTGGTTGAGTTCGGTCTGCGAACAGGATGGATGTGGTTGAAACTATGTACAACTGTATTGCAACTGATCCCCGACTGCACTACGTCCGCACACGTCCCCAGTAAGATTGAAGTACAGCATTTCCATTTGTCATGTGGCAATTCCGTTCATAAGACTGCAATCTCGTTTTAAGTACGTTGTCACTCCATCCCATTTTAGAACAAGTAGAACGATGGACATGTTCAATGTTCTGGAGCACCCTTCCATCCCTAGTCCGATCAAGCCTGTCCATAAGTTCTTATAGACCGCCTCCGTGGTGTAGTGGTTAGAGCTTCCGCCCGGGAGAGCGGAAGGTCGCGGGTTTGATCCCTGACCACGTCATACCAAAAGACGTTAAAATATGGTACTTGTTGGTCCCTGCCTGGCGCTCGGCATTTATGGATACAACAAGGACTGGTCGGCTCGGAGTCAATATAATGTGTCTGAGTGGGGTATTCATGTTTCACTGCGCCGTGGTATCTCAGTGAGCTAGCACTATAAAACCAGCTTAAGTCTGGGCTAGTACAAGCAGCCTCACATACACATACACATGCATGCACGTCGTCAAATGAGCGAAATATTCTCAAGTACGACGTTAAACCCAATTTCACCTCACCTCATAAGTACTTATAGAGACTGTTAACAGCGGATCCGAACAGTTTTCAAGAACGTACTGAGAACGTGTTTGGTGTGATGGGGGTATAACAAGTGAATCATCTGTAGTCGATAGTGTACCCACTTGAACAGAAGTTCATGTTGATAAACAAAACATGCAAGTTAGTTCAACATCTAAACTTTATCCATGGATAATGACTATATACATGCATCGACCATGTCCATAAACAATTATGTCATCATACAGCTATCACACAATCAAACACATAATTGAATAATGACATCATACAGCTACCACTAAAATAAATCATGCACAAACACGCTGAGAGATGCACTAAAAAATCATGCACAAATCATGCAACAAGACATGCACAACAGGGAGATGCAATCAAATCAAATCATGCAATCAACACGCACAGGAGATGCAATCAAGGAAATCATGCAACAACACGCACAGGAGATGCAATCAAAATCATGAACAAATCATGAACAACACAACATGCACAGGAGATGCAATCAACCAAATCATGAACAACACGCACAGGAGATGCAATCAAACAACATGCACAGGAAATCATGAACAACATGCACAGGAGATGCAATCAACCAAATCATGAACAACACGCACAGGAGATGCAATCAACCAAATCAACAACAACAAATCATGAGACAACACGCACAACATGGAGATGCAATCAAGGGAAATCATGAACAACACAGCAACAACCAAATCATGAACAACATGCAGGAGATGCAATCAATCAAAATCATGCACAACACGCACAGGAGATGCAATCAAGGAATGCAATCATCATCATGAACAACATGCACAGGAGATGCAATCAACCAAATCATGCACAACACGCACAGGAGATGCAATCAACCAAATCATGAACAACACGCACAGGAGATGCAATCAACGAAATCATGCACAACACGCACAGGAGATGCAATCAACCAAATCATGAACAACACGCACAGGAGATGCAATCAAGGAAATCATGAACAACACATGCACAGGAGATGCAATCAAGGAAATCATGAACAACACGCACAGGAGATGCAATCAACCAAATCATGCACAACACCACAGGAGATGCAATCAAGGAAATCATGAACAACACGCACAGGAGATGCAATCAAGGAAATCATGAACAACATGCACAGGAGATGCAATCAACCAAATCATGAACAACACGCACAGGAGATGCAATCAAGGAAATCATGAACAACACGCACAGGAGATGCAATCAAGGAAATCATGAACAACACGCACAGGAGATGCAATCAACCAAATCATGAACAACATGCACAGGAGATGCAATCAACCAAATCATGAACAACACACACAGGAGATGCAATCAACCAAATCATGAACAACACACACAGGAGATGCAATCAAGGAAATCATGAACAACACACACAGGAGATTCAGTCAACCAAATCTGTTACTGGTGACCTATGCTCCCCACATGTAACTGAATATGAAAACTTTCATTACCTACACATCCATGGGAAATTTCCTTTCTGCACAATAACATGAAACCCCACCAACATTAATTATAGTGTAGCCACCATTGAGTACAAGCTGCCATTATCTACAGTCAGTACTGTACTGACTGTGACGACATGTGAGTGTTATCAGTTGCCCATGGTAATTACCACATCAGTCCTTCACGGATTTAAACTACAATGTGCTTCTACTCACACAAGACTAGGCTGTAATAGTAAGAGTCACACTAATCCTGGGAACAAGATTTACGCAGAGACTGACTTTAGAGCTTGATGCATTCTTTGTTTAATCAAGCCTCAGAGGTGATACTTGACGAAATATGTAAGCTACATGAAGAGGAAGAACCTTTAGCATGGAAGTCTGTGTTCAGGTAATATATGTTACAAGCAGACTTTGAAATGAGTCATCTCCTGAGCAAGTACCTGCATAAGTCAATTTGTGTTTAAGCATTAATAATCACAATTTTGAAAAATGATAGTCTCGGTCAAAATGCCAAGACGAATATAGTGTCAAGATTGCTCCATCACCCCAAACTTGTCTTAAGTGAATTCAAACACAGTTTCAATTTTTTTTTGTTACATATTTGCACGAGAAAATATTTATATCAAGTTTATTGCAATTCCTGAGGATTAAAAATTCTTCCATTGTGGCTTCTGTGAGTAGGCAC